AGAAAGAAAGAAAGAAAGAAAGAAAGAAAGAAAGAAAGAAAGAAAGAAAGAAAGAAAGAAAGAAAGAAAGAAAGAAAGAAAGAAAGAAAGAAAGAAAGAAAGAAAGAAAGAAAGAAAGAAAGATGTGGCCATGGTAAGACTACTCCCCAAATATCTCACATGCCTTGAAAACCCTGTCAGTGTCACTGTAAGTCAGGTACAACTTGATGGCACAGAGCACACAGTGGAAGGATGAAGGCATTTATGAACCCTTTTAAGTTTCATTTTCCTTTATTTGAACTGGGGCTGTGGAACATGTGGCTGTCCAGATGTTGCAGTCCCAAAGTGACATGACCAATGGCCAGGGGTGGTGGAAGCTGGTGTTCAGCAGTACCTGGAGGGGCCCCCACATGTGTTTTTTTTTTCCAATCAGAGTTATCTTTACATTTGTTGTTAAAAGGTACACTTTCAGTTGTCAAATGCAGCTGCTGTCTCTACCAGAGGCAGTTCTCTTACCCGTGCTTGGCATTTCATTTTCCCAGTTTAATCAGATACTTTCAAGGAGTCCAGGGGGAAATGTCATAGGGGAAGCATGCCTTGTTTCCTGAAATGAAAATGAAGCAATTCAGAATAGGTTGAAAAAAGGGGGGGTGGGGAGGAAGGTTGCTCAGATAGCTTGCTCTTCTCTTTGCTTAGTTGGAAATAAATTGAACAACATATACTATTCCGAGGTAGGTGTGCATAGAATAGGAACCTCTGCAGTGGAATGTTCTTGTTTTGATCTTGCTATTTTTGTGGGAAAGTATTTGAAGGAGCATCATGGGATACAACTGTGTGGCTGTTAATTTTCCATGTTCTCTTCACCAATACAATAAAATAGGACTGGTTGATTTTTTTAAAAAGAAGTTGCTTTTTCTTTAAAGAAGAATGCTGAGTGCCTTCATTTTCTCCTCCTCCTCCTCCTGTGTGGCAGCTGTCTGATCAGCCTCTGGAGATTTTGCAGAGGTAGCAGCATTTTGAACTGCAAAGCATTGTAATAAATGGAGATGCCACCTGCCGCGAAGTCAAATTCCGGTCGGCTTCAAGTGGGACCTTAGTTTGCTGTTAGGCCAAATAGCGTACATTTTTATTCTGTTTGTGTAGGATGTGCTCCAAGCTCACGCAGGTTTACTCTCCATGGCTGGTAAATTTTGAGCTGTACTTGTTTTCCCCTGGATATCAGATTTCTTTATTTATGCCAGCAGTTTTTAGAACATGTTAACATGAATATTTTTCTTTGAATAGAAAGACTTTTCATTCAGTTCATTCTGTGATTTGTTTGTGTGCTCAAGGGGGTTTTCAAAGGATAGGCTGAGTTGGAAAAACAATGGAAGAATAAATTTAGGATTCTTATCTTGCTCCTGTTTATTCTCTGTATGAATGATTGAGCTGTTTATGCAGTCATTGTTTCAGCTCATGCACATGAGAGTGCTCCCTTCTGTTGCAGTACTGAAGCTGCCCCGTGAGAGTCAACTAGAATGTGTTGAGATTTCTTGCTGTTATAAACAAGTCCTTTCAAACTGGAATAATACATTTCCATTGGCTGCTTAGGTATTTGGGTATTTGACTGGTATACTGTAAAGGTAACGATAAAAGGTTCCCCTTGACAATTTGTCTAGTCATGTCCGACTCTAGGGGGCGGTGCTCATCTCCGTTTCCAACCCATAAAGCTAGCGTTTGTCCGCAGACAATCCTCTGTGGGCATGTGGCCAGCGTGACCAGACATGGAATGCCGTTTACCTTCTCACTGTGGTGGTACCTATTTATCTACTCGCATTTTTGCATTTTGCATGCTTTTGAACCACTAGGTTGGCGGGAGCTGGGACAAGCTCTGTATAGTTGGCCATATAAATGTTTAGTGGCTTTATGCCTAAAGACCAGGCCTGTGCCCAGAATAAGCAAAGATATAGGTAACACATTCCCTTGGTGCTGCTGGGTCTCAGCCTAATTTTAGTTGATGGCAACAGATATGCCTCAGTTCTCTGCTTTGTGCTCTTTGTGATGTGTCCCAGCATTGTCCGGCTCCAAATTCAGAATGCAGAGGGTTCCCAGAATTGTTTTTCTTTTCCAAACTTGACACAATAGTTCACTTCCCTTTAATTAAAAGAGAGAATACTTAAACACATTTGTTCTAAAGCAGGGGTGTCCAACCCCCCCCCCCGGAGCTGTATAAACACGTATAACACATATATATCTTGCCACAAACTTTTGGGTGGGTGAGAACCATGTTTTGCTTTTAACAAACTGATATTCCTTTAAAAGAAGGGATGCATTTCACATGTGTTTTTGTTTACAAGCGGGATGCTGTTTTGGGAGGCTTCCTGGGCCAAAAAAGCTATTGTTTAGGTACTTAATTTGAAGGGTAAATGGTGGTGCTGGAAATGGAATGGTGCCTTTTTTTGAGACAGTGGGGAAATGGCAGGAACAGGGGATGTAAAGCATAGACTTAATGGAACTTTTCTGAAGGAACTGAAATATTAAAACATTTAGTCTTGATTGGCCCTTTCTTCTTGAGTTTGCAGAGCTTCATCCAGGGTTAGAAGTTGCATGTTTTTCCTGCTGATTTTGCCCCATCCCCAGGTCATTTCCACTGCTGTTCAAGATTGCTCCTTAACTCTCCCAAGTCAATTTTCTGGAGGCAGAACAAAGAAGGGCATTTGGTGAAAACATTCCTCCCCATATTTCAGGAGGAGTCTTTCGGAAATGATATTCTGCTCAGCAGGTTCTCAAGAGATAGAGAGTAAAAGTATTCTAGGTAGATTGCAGTAGATGTTCAGAATCTATTGGAAGTGCTGTTTTGTATGTATGTATATGCATGTATGTGTAAACTGAGACCAGTTATAGATATTAAACAAAGGCAGCACTAAGTTTAGTAACATTTATTGAGTGTTGAGATTTGAGTCTTAGAGCCAAAGGTGATCTTTCTTTATTCATATCAAAGCATTCCACAATTTAAAATTCTGGGTGTATAAGAAATACAGGTAAAATTAAAAACAATTAAAATGTTAAGATCATTGGACATTTTTTGACCAGAAGCAGGCCACCTCAGCTTTGGCCATTTGCTAAAACTGCATGCCTTTTGCTTTACAGTGGTTTCTCCTGCCCGGAAGAGGGTGCCTCTGCCTCTTTTAGTGTTACTGGTTCTGAATCCTCAGTCCTTAATAGAATAGCCAAGATAGGCATTGCTGTTTCTATTTGCCTCTTATGAATGCACTGCTGTGAGGTAAGTGCTGGATTTGCCACACCCTGAGGAATAATTCTGGCACATGTGGTAGGTGTGGAAGTCTGGTTCCCAGTCAGTGGTGAGGATGAGGAGTGTTTGCCTGTGGTGTAAATTAGCTTGCGTGGAGGGTCAGTGAAGGACTGAAACACAGGGCCGGCATTAGACAAGAAGCCTTTTTAATTGAACAAGCGGAACATTGTGTCTGCTTAGGACATGGGATGTTAACCAAATCTACTCAGTCTGAAGTCCCGGGGGGGGGAAACTAAGCAAGTGTAATGTTAGCTGGTGCCAAGAGCCTAGTTGTTAGTTAGGAGTTGATTATTAGTTGGCTGCTAAAGAAGGGCCAGAATTCCAGGTCTTTCACTCCCTGTACAGGGTGGGAAAGCATTTGTGTGTCAGGGGAGGGAGTGTATGTGTATTTGATGACTCTGGCATGAGCTAAGGTCACAACAGGAGGGAGACAGCAGATGATTCATTTATTTTACTTTGGCCTTTCACTTATGGCTTTAACATCTGTTGCAGCCTAACCAAGCTGGAAAGTTTGAGACACCGGCCTCTGACCATGCTTGACCTGGGCCTAACAAGCCCTTTGTCTCTCTCCCCCGCTGGTACTTCTTTCCTAACAGTCTGTCCTCGGATGGAAGCTGGAAGATAATGCAAAATGTGGAGGGAGGGGAAGAAGAACAGGAAGCCATTTCTCAGCCCCTAACCCTGCCCTGCCTTCCCTGTTCTCATCTCACAGAGAACTGTATTGGGGGAGGTAAAACTGTGCAGCCAACATGGAAGGCTACCGCTGTGCCACATCTTTTCTAACCCTGTTTAGAAGTGAAGGGGGAGAGACAGGGTGTGGAATCAGCTCAGGCAGCAACACAACAGTGACTTAGCTTGAAGGAGAATTTGGCTACCTTAGTGTTCCATGATCAAGTCGTGAGCCGCTTGTTTCCCATCACCTGTGCCTACAACCATTTCAGATGCACAGTTTGGAAAAAAAAACTACTTCTAAACTTCTGGGATTTGTAGTTGTTTGAAATTAAAATGTGTAGGTTTTGCTCTGTGCCAGTACAAAACTGGCCATAGTGTCTGGGTCAGTACATCGTAGGATGCTGCCATCATGTGGATGTTACATAGATACTGAGATGTCGTTTGACTGTAGCAGTTTGGAACCATTGCCTGGGTTCATTCAATTATTCTGCCTTGCCCACCTTTCAGGGAACTTGGAGCAGTACCTGTGGCTCTCCTCCCCACACCCTATGAAGCAGATTGACAGGGGCTGAACTTGATGATCTATAGGATCCCTTCCACCTCTGCTGTTGCAAGATTATTAGATTCATCGGAGACAGTGGAACTGGGCCAAGGTTTTTCATTCAGGATTTGAACCTGGGTCTCCTTGGCCCTAGGCCAACACAGTAACTGTTGTACTGTAGACGGTGTTGTAGATGTTGCATGTTATTCTTTCAGTAAACATTAGTGGATCTCAGTCATCTTTGGGCATCAGGGATATTCAGTAGTGATTTCTGTCATTGTGGAGATTGGAAAAAAAGATCAGCGAAATTCTGTGTTGCTGACTGCCTGGTTCATGCTCTACATGTCATCTTATGAGTGCTTGGCAGTGGGCAGAGGAAGTCTTGTGTAAATTAGCCGCTGGCATTAGAGAACCAAATATACATTTTGAAAATTATATTCTCCTGCATGTCTGTTGTAAATTGCTGTCCAAGGCTACCTATTTTGAAGAAGGTGAGGTTTGTCCACATGTATAACAGCATATTAGGAAATTTGAGAGCTAAAAAACAAGAAGCCTGCTTCTGGATGGTAAAACAGGGTGGCTGGCCAGACTTCACACATAAGCCTTGGTCTTCCTGCTCTCCTACTTTCTGAAGGTGTTAGTAATGCAACAGTTAGGAGTGTTTTTAGCGCCATACTAGTTGGTCCAGACCTTCCTGTGTAACAGAGTCAGTGGATCCTCTGGTTGTTTACCACCACTTCTCCTTCAGCATTTGTCAAGTAGTAGAAAGCAATGAGGCATTTTTATCTGCACGTCTGAATGGCTGAAAGCATTTCCAGAGTCAAAGAGGTCTTCCTGCTGTGCTCAGTTCTCAGGGCCTTTGGTATTGCTCAGTAAATGAAGCCCTGCAAAAGCAAGACAGTCTCCCTCAAAAAATGGCTGTTTGGCTGATTGGGAATGAACCTGGCAAGGGGTCTTTCATGTTGAACCTTCAAATCAGGAACACAGCTGATTTGGAGGTTCAACATGAAAGCTGTATATGGTATCCAGTCTTCTGGTCTAGTTGTTACCAGATTGTTCCAGCAAAATTCAAAAATCAGATCTCCCTTTCCATTTAGATTTGCTCTGGTTTTCCATTCCATATCATTGTGAAGAAATGTTTTTAAATGTATGTATAGCTAAAATGGCAAAAGCAGAAAATGTCTCTGGGTCATGTGTGGAGACAGAGTCAGTGGGTAAATTGATGCCAAAGAGGTGCAAGTTTTGTATTCCGTATCTCTGCTTGCACCTACACTCACTGAGGCCCATGATGGAAGAAGGGTCGACCCCCAGTGCATGCAGTATATATTCTTCAGGCCCAAGCCCTGCCATTTCCCTTCTCCACTTTGTCACCATGTGTTCCAGCATTTCCAGTGGATAATTGAGCAAAGCTTGGAAAAGTTACTTTTTAGACTGCAGCTCCTAGAATTGGGTTAGAGGGATCTAGAGGTTATAATCTTCATGGTGTGGAGCTCAATTACCCCTTGAAGGCGGTAGTCCTAGGGGCATGCATTAAGGCGTAAGTCCTGTTGACATTGATGAGGCTTACTTCCCAGTGAATGCAGATGAGATCAGACTGTACGCTAGAGCTTAGTAATCTCCCCTTGGAACAGTTGTGGCAGCCATGCTAGTTTCTGCCAGGTCTTCAAAGTTGCAGGGAGCTCCCTCTGGACTAATGAATTCTATTTGCTCAGCCGGAATTGCTCTGTTGGGCTGTCTTAAATATCTATGCTAACTGCCCACTCTGACAGTTCTGAGCAGAGTCTGTAGTGCTACCGGAAAGTGAGACAGCTGTAATACTCTCTACCCTTTGGTAAGTTTTTCCCCAAGGGGTGGAAACCTTGCCCTAAACTCTTCCAATTTAACTGCTTTCCCAGCACAGGCTGCATGCCTAAAAACTCTCATCACTTGTATGCTTCGCTGTGGCGTCTTCCAAGGGGTGATTAAATAGAAAGCGTACAAAACCTTCTGGATCCAGGAATCTTTTCCTTGTTGTTCCTGTTGAGCTGGTAAATACCAGTGACTTGGTTTGTGTAGCATTTGAGCTTGACTAGTTTGTCCTCAAGGGAAATGTTGAGGAAGAAAGCCACACATGCAAGTTCCTGATATGCCTTTGAACTATGGTTTTCTTGTGTCTTTTAGGTCGTAGGCATCGGTGCAGGGCAGCAGTCCCGGATCCATTGTACACGCCTGGCCGGGGACAAAGCAAACAACTGGTGGCTCCGGCATCACCCACAAGTGCTTGCCATGAAGTTCAAAGCTGGGGTGAAAAGAGCTGAGATATCCAACGCTATTGATCAGTATGTCAGTGGGACCATTGGAGAGGTAAAACTGTAGGATAGCCTGGAACCTTATACTACATTCCCATCTTAATTAAGCTTCCTTGGAGTAAATGCGGTCCACAGTCCTGAGGTTTGATGGGTTTGGTCCCCATGATTGGTATCTTTGCATCTCCCAGAACTGGGGCTAACGTGTGGCCCGTGAGCCTCCAGAGCCTAAGAGAGAGCTAAATCCCCAGCCATGGCCCTCCTATTCCTTTAAAACCTATGAGACAGTTTTTCTTTCATGGTGTAATGGGAGTCACCAGTGGGTCTCAAGGCTACAGATTGTGCAGGACCATTTTGCTTGACTGGACCTGTATGACGGCTGACTCTGTTTTAGTGGAGACGGTGTATTTTTCTTTTCTCTGCTATATTGACAAAATTTGGTGAGAACACCAAAACCAACATGCAGAAGGATGTGTGCATTTCCCTCCCAGCTTTCTTGAAGGGCAGTTTATTTTTTTCCCTCCTTCTCTTGCCTCATGGCTTTTGAAGTATTCTTATTCAGAGCCTGATGGCCCAGCAGTTAAACTGCAGTAATGCAGTCAAGACTCTGCTCACAACCTGAGTTTGATCCTGAAAGGCTGACGTAGCTGGCTCATGATTGACTCAGCCTTCCATCCTTCTGGGATTGGTAAAACGAGCACCCAGTTCAATAGTGGGGCATATGTGAGGCAATGTGTAGCCTGACTAATTAAATTGTACACTTAGAGAGTGCTTTAAGCACTTATGGGGTGGTATATAAGCAGCACACTTTGCTTATTCCTTTTCTTTTTTAAAAAAATAAATAAATTATGGGTTAGCCTCTTTGTACCAAATGTTGAATTTAGTGCTCTGATACTTGTGCGCAAACCGGAGTAGCACAAAACAGTCTAAACAAAGCTGGACTAATTGTAATAGAAAACTGTGGGTTTTTGTTAGTCCTTCTATGATGACTCAGAATCTGCTGAGGAACGGCTATAACTCAAAAGTAGGCTATCTCCATTTGTATACAGAGGGTCCCAGGATTAATCTCCAGGAAAGGATAGGAAAGACCTCATCCTGAACATCTGGAGAGCTGCCACTGAGATGTAAAGTTCACCACCTTGGCCTAAATGAACCAATGGTCTGACTCAGTGGCTCAAATCCATTAGTAAGCTGCAACTAGAGTAGGCCCATTGAATCAGTGGGAATTTGATGAGTCAACATGTATATGAATTACAATTGATTTAGTGGCCATGCTCTAGTTGGCTCATTATAATTGGATTTCAGTCAATGTAGGGTAGGTTTCTCTCTTCCTAACTTAATGCATTTCAGCTGTTGGTTTTCCTGAAAACTGAAGTAGCAGCTCTACAAGAGATACAGACTTTGTTATAAAAGGAGTACCTTTGCTCACAGAGGGTTGCTGAGAAAAATACCAGGTTCTCTTTCCACTGCGTTGGCCAAGCATTGGAGAATTAAATTGTCTCAGTCCAGCAGATGATTTTTAGAAATTTGTTTCTGCAGGATGAAGACCTCGTCAAGTGGAAAGCGCTGTTTGAGGAAGTCCCAGCTATGTTCACCGAGGCAGGAAAAAAGGCATGGGTTGAGAAACTGAAGGGAGTTTCTCTCAGCTCGGATGCATTCTTCCCTTTTAGGGATAATGTGGACAGAGCAAAACAGGTAAGGCTGTCAGAAGTGTCTCTTTTCTGGGTTGTGGAAGGAAGCTGATAAGGAGTTGAAGGGCATCTTGTCAGTCATCTACTAGTACATCATGGGCCCTGTAACCAATTTGGATTGTGTAGTTTAGGACTGCAAGCACTGGTGGTGATTGTGGGCAAGGGTTATCTTAATTCAAGAGATGACTGAGATAAATTAATCCAGCCATCTTCTGCAGAAGAAAGGAGATCAAATTTACAGAACCAGTTGGCAACTTATTACCTCCAGTTCATAGTCTGCAGTGCCTTGCAAAAGGAAGATTTTCATATTTTAACATGATTTATGATCTGCAGCATCTATAAACTCTGCAATTGGAACAGTCTTTGCTTCAAAAGTAGCTGATTTCAGAAAAGCCTGCTTTTCCAGAGATTACATTGTCTTGGATGCTTTGTGCAGAATTCTGCAGTAGCTAATGAAATGGTTCCATAATTAGGTTGTTTCC